GTTGCAAACTGAAAAATGACTTAAATGCATTTGGGTATTTTGACTTTTCAACAACTTGAGCTTTTCTTTATTTTAAATATTTTTTATTGATTTCAGAGAAGAAGGGAGAGGGAGAGGGAGAGATAGAAACATCAATGATGAGAGAGGATCATTGATTGGCTGCCTCCTGCATGGCCCTCACTGGGGATTGAGCCCATAACCCGGGCATGTGCCCTTGACCGGAATCGAACTTGGGACCCTTCAGTCCACAGGCTGACGCTCTATCCACTGAGCCAAATCAGCCAGGGCAAAAACTTGAGCTTTTAGATAAACATGTTTTCCAACCAAGATCTCTCCCCCAAGTTGGTCTGGGAAGTGAGCAAGTGTTTTGTTGTTTTTTGTGGGTTTTTTTTTTTTTAAAGATTGTCCTCTTTTGTGGTTGGCAGGTATTTTACTACAAAGTTAATACTAATGAGGGCCATTCGTGTAGCTGACAGTCTGCCAAGCCCTTTATAGCATAACGAACAAAATGATATGACGTTAAGTCTTAATGTAGGGAACCAATCCAAACCCCAGTGCCTTTCTTCCCCTCGGCTGGGTGAATTCCTGGAACACTGAGGCAGCGTTGGGCTTCCGGCATTCACCTGCCCGGACCGGGTTTAAGGCCTCAGCAGGATGTTCGAGGACTGGCTCAGTGAGGTGCATGGCTCCCGGCACCCCCAGATACCTAGCGCTGGGGCCGCTCTATGAATGAACTCAGTCAGCATCACAGGGCCCGGAATTGGGAATTTAGTGGAAGGGACAGGATTATTTGCTCTGTGGTTTAGAAAATATAATGTTGCCCTTTTCTGGTTTCCAAAATATATATCCTTATAAAACTTTCAGCATAAATATTTATTTATTTATTTATTTTTGCTCTATTTTTCAATAAGAAGAACGGAGAGGAGGAGAACTCTTCAGCTCAATAAGAGTCGCCTATGGCCTGAACTTGGGACTTAAATAAATACTTCCACAATGACAACAAGTAGGAGGGAGGTTTTCCCACAGAAAGGAGAAGTTTTTATTAACTACACCCCTCGGTTGAACACATCGAACATTTCTCATCTGCTTCCCAGTGCCAGGAGGCCTTTGAATTCAGGGTACCCCTCACCCAAAAGCCTACGTGGTTGGTGCATTTACCCTGCCACTTGCATCATCCCCAAAAGGCCAAGTGGCACTTGAAATAGGGAAAAGGGCCCTGGCCAGGGCAGCTCAGTGGGTTGAGTGTTGGCCATGCACCTAGCGGTCACTGATTTGTCCCCAGGCAGGGCACATGCCCAGTTTCGGGCTTAATCTCCAGTTGGGGGGCATGCAGGAGGCGGCTGATTGATGTTTATCTCTCTCCCTCTCCCTTCCTCTCTCTCTAAAATCAATAAAAACATATTTTTTAAAAGATAAAAGGACTAAACAGCCTCATAATGAAGTATAAGTATGTCCCAAACATTATGGAAGAATGCTTATACTAAAAATCTATCCCCTATTTATCTGAAACTCACGTTTAACTAAGTGTTCTGTGTTTTGTCTGGCGAGCAAAGCCGATGGAAAAAGGCATGCGGTCAAAATGTCTTAAAAAGGAGGGAACATGTTTGTCAGGAACTTTGAAAGTATCTGGTAATAAATAAGAACATTATAAATGCTGATTCAAATCATTATTATAACCCTAGTCACATAAAATTGTAATTTATCATGTTATATAAAGTAATGAGTCTCTAAACCAGTGTAAGTTGAACTTTAGTAAATCCAATGTTTCCCCATTAGTTTATGTTAGAATTTTAGTAATGTTTCATCCTCATTTATAATTAATCTTCAGTTGATTCTGAACCGATTTTAACTTCCTGTGTTCCCAGGTTTTTAAGTTAATGATCTATTCTGGAATCCTTCAATGGCTCCGGGTACCCCATCCTGGGAGTCCTTTGTAAAACAAAGGGTCTGTTTTGCAATTGGAAGACTTTTCTTGATTAATCACGCCAAATACAGCAGTTTTAGAAGTTCAAGCACAGATGCCTGAAACTGAGCACACCTAATTTCCCCTTTTATAGCTTATTACTAAAAAAAAATCACAAACAGCATAAGCAGCTCTCTAAATTAGAGAGATTTAAAGTTTTGTTTTAAGAAATAAAGCTTCCTATGGAAGTGCAGTTAGAAAGTGTCAGAGGAAGTGGCCAGCCCAGCACCCTCTCCCTCCTCAGTCCTGCTGGGGAAACCGGAACTCGGAACTCGGGGCAGGAGCCCTTGCTGAACTCTGAACTCAGGATGAGGTGGGCATGAGCCCTAAGGCTGGAAAGCTGCAGGAGGCTGGCCTGGAGGGTAGAGAGGGGGGGGAGCGGAGAGGTCCGCTTGGAGATGGTTATTCCACTTGGCTGTCAGGTGGAAAATGACTGTGAGGCGGGCTGTTGGTGTTGGAGCCTTTCATTTCATGGCGGTGTGGTTCGCAGCAGAAGCCCGAGTGCCCCCTGGAAAGATGGGCTCTTTCTGTCCCCCTCTTCATGTGAACGAGTTCACACCCAAAGTATTGAGGGCCTCCAGGGACCAGGTGCTGTTTCAGGCCTCAGGGCCCGTTGGTGAGCCAGCAAGCAGAGGCCCCTGCCTGCTAGGGTTCGCATCTGTCAGAACAGACGTGGGGTGAGTCGTCCCGGGTGATGGCGGGCAGTGGGGTTAGGAGGGTCTGGATCGGGGCTTGGGGGAGATTGCATTCTAAACAGGAGGTCAGGGTGGGACTTGGTGGGGGGCCATTTGAGAAAGGAGCTGAAGGGGACGTGGGAAGGGAGCCACAGGTGCTCTGAGGAACAGTGTTCCAGGCAGAGAGAAAACAGCCCAAGCCCCTGCTCGTGTCTGGTTTATGGTTCTCAACCCACACGATTTTGTCACCAGGAGACATTTGGCCGTGTCTGGAGGCACTTTTGTCTGACACTGAAGCGGGGGAGGGGGGCATGCTACTGGCATCTAGTGGATAGAGACCAGAGATGCAGTTAAATATCCTACTTTGCACCAGACAGCCCTCAACAGCCAAGAATGAATGATTTGGCCCAAAATGCCAGTAGTACTGAGGCTGAGAAACCCTGTGTTCAAGGAACAGTGAGGAGGCCAGGGTATGCTGGAGGGAGGCTGGGAGGAGAAGGTGAGGTCGGAGGGAGCAAGGGCTTGTGGGGGAGGCAGTGCTGGGTTAGGTAGGGCCTCAGGCCCTTGTGGACTTTGGCTTTTCCCCCAAGAGTAATGGGGAGCCATTGGAGGGTGTGGAGCAGAGCAGGGGTGTGAGCAGCATGGACAGTTTTAAGGGTGCTGCTCTGGCTGCGGATGGAAAATAGACGGGAGGAAGGTAAGGTTGGGATGAGGGAGTCATCCTGGCAGGAGATGAGATGGGGCATAGGCCAGGGCGGAGTAGCTTTGGGATTTCTGGGCAGCAGAACCGTCCCGTGCCAAATTTTAGACATCGGGCACTGAGGTGCTCTGGGGATGTCACACGATCCCACTCTGTTCATTACTATAGTTCATATGTAATATAATGTATATATATAGTCTATAGATGGATAGATAGACAGATGGATAGACAGACAGACAGATGGATAGACAGATGGGTAGCTAGATAAATGGCTGTGGTTAAGTCATGTCAGCTGGATTTTGTTTTACACAATAGGATACCCGATACCTGTCTTAACAATCAGTTCATGACAGAACAATTGGACGTGGGTAGGCACAGTGTAATCCTTCCCTGCTCTAACACAGTCTTGGAAAAAACATTCGCTCTTGCTAACAACTCCTTTGTGGTATATTTCGTTAAGGCACGTATAACCCTAAACAGACTAAATCGCCTGAAAATGAGATGAGGGGAGCACAAAAGGTCTGGTACCTAGTAAACGGGCTTTCGAATTACTCTCCTCTTTCAGAAATGTACTAAGTTGTTTAAGTGGTTCATCCTCTCTCACTTGACCAGGGAAAGCAAATGCCGAAACACAGCAGAAAACACCAAGAGAGCGAATTCCTGCTTCTACCCAAAGGTCTCAGACATCGCAGCAGGGGCCCCTCATTCCTCCATGCGCTGGACGTCCCTGAGGCGCACAGGCCTTGTCCTGTTTTAACCAAAGACAGTGGGAGTCACGTGACAGCCTGCAGCAGCGGCTGGACCCACCTGGGGGTCACACTCCACCTGTGCACACACCGCCTCTCCTTCTACTTACGGCCAACACAGTTCATTGTCATCTTGCAGAATTACCATATTTTTTTTTAAATCTCATGCTGCTGCAAGAAAGTGGTAAATTAGCCTCTTAGTGAAAAGTAATCTGTTCTGCAATCTCTTAGTGTTTTTTTCAGGAAGTTTTAAAATAGACTTGCCTTCAGGAGCTTTTCATTTGTTCCATCAGAAAGACTCTGGCCCCTCCACCATGCAGAGGTGTTAGGTCGGGGAGATTTCAGGGAGGAGCACTGGGTAGTAGCCATGTTGGGAGACCTCCCATCCAAAAAATCCTTTGTTCAGGATTTCCATGGATCACCTACATCAGAATCCCTCCAGGGCTTGGAAAAGCTGCAGACTCCTTGGCCCCCTCCCACACCCACCCCTAAGGGTAGGCATCTGCCTTTCGGGTGAGCGTTTTGGGCTCATTCTCAGTGTGTGTGAATCCACTACTCTAGGCTATGTTTTCAGTCAAGAAAACCGGCTCTGAGGACCAGCCTGCTCACAGCAACATGTTGAAAATGGACATGTTCTTCCAATGAAAACCATGCCTCTAAGAATGTGTTTTCTACAAGGAAGTGTGTCACCCACGGCTCAGTCTCTCTCAACAGAACTGTTTCCTCCTGCGGAGTGTTGGCGGGTGCCCGTCAGCTCTGTTCCGGGGGGAACAGGGGTCACTTCGCTGGCTGGGCTGCTGGCTTTGCTGTGCGTCCCGTCCTGGCGGAGTTTAGGTGGCACTTTGGCCTAGAAGACGGCTGGCAATGATCACTGTCGTTGTCTCACGTTTTCTCTTCTCTCTTTTCTCGTTGAACAGCCAATATGCCAGAGGATTATCCCGACCAGTTTGACGACGTCATGGATTTTATTCAGGCCACCATTAAAAGACTGAAAAGGTCCCCGGACAAACAAATGGCCGTGCTGCCTAGAAGGGAGCGTAATCGGCAGGCCGCCGCCGCCGCCCACCCAGAGAACCCCAGAGGGAAGGGCCGGCGGGGCCCGAGGGGCAAAAACCGGGGTTGCGTCCTAACCTCCATCCACCTGAATGTCACGGACTTGGGTCTGGGCTACGAAACCAAGGAGGAACTGATCTTCCGGTACTGCAGCGGCTCCTGTGAGGCCGCCGAGACGATGTACGACAAAATATTAAAGAACTTGTCCAGAAGCAGGAGGCTGGTGAGTGACAAGGTAGGGCAGGCCTGCTGCAGGCCCATCGCCTTCGATGACGACCTGTCGTTTCTAGATGATAACCTGGTTTACCATATTCTAAGGAAGCATTCCGCGAAAAGGTGTGGATGTATCTGACTCCGGCTCCAGAGACGGCTGTGTATTGCATTCCTGCTGCGGTGCAAAGAAAGGGACCAAGGTTCCCAGGAAATGTTTGCCCGGAATGGAAGATGAGGACCAAGCTGGAGGAGGAGGAGGAGGAGGAGGAGAGCCATGTGGGAGCCTGGGACAGAGAGATCCAGCTACACAGACCTGGACAGGAGAGAGGAAACAGCATCTGGATTCTCCCGGACAACAGCCGATGCCACCAGAAGCCCAGGGCTGGTGTCCCTGGGGGAGGGGTTGCCATGGTTTCATCTGATGCAGCCCGCTGGCACCAGCCCACCAGTCCACCAGTCACGGGCACAGTTGCGGATGCACTTGAAACTAAACCAGTGTGTCTCCTGTGGTTTGTTTTCACACATCTGGAGACACCGGGGAAACGGAATCCTGGTGTCATTCCTTGTCATTACGTTTTACTGCTGAAAGCAGGGAAGGTTTATTTTTCTGTCACTCAGTGGAGACATACCCCGGAAAGGAGGGGGGTGGCGGGGAAGCAAAGACACAGAGACAGTAACCTTTGCATCTGAAAGTTGAGGCCTGAGGTTTACTACCACCAGCGTATAGGGAACGGCTGGCTGGTGATTCATTTTGAACTTGGTGTGTGGGGTGGGAAGAAGTTGGCTAGGAACCAAAAAGGCTGTCCTCAAGACTAAAAACCAACCTGAAAGTGTTTCCTTTAAGGCCTTGGAAACAGGAAACCGGTTGCGGTTCTCGGCAGCATTCTTGCAGGAGAGCGAGCGGGGAGGCCTCCGCCTCCCAGGGGCAGGGAAACCCCGCGGCTGTCGGTTTACAGAGAGACGCGTTACATACACCCCAGCTCCGGCTGTGCGTGGTCACCAGTGACCAGAGAAGCTACTCGATGCAATGCATCTGTTTCAGATACGGAAAATAGAAGATATTTATTGAGATTTAAGTTATTGTTATTTATTACCGTTCACTAATGAGTTTCTCTTTCGTCCCTTATTTATTAAAGTTTCTTTTCAAAGGTGCCAAAGTATATGTGCTCGCAAAATGCAAAGAAGGGTGACAAAGAAAAGTTTAATTGGGAACAAAGGGTCCATGCTTTTCAAAGTATTAACACATTTGTCGCTAGGCAAAAATCACTTACTTTACCTTTTTAAGAAAAGCCCTCATTCACTTCCCCAGATTTCAGCATCTTCCCTGTTTTTCTTTCTTTCTTTTCTTTCCTTTTTTTTTCCTTTTACGAAAGAAATGTGTCCGAAGGAGCATGTCTGGCAGGGTCCCGGAGAGGCGCGTGCAGAGACCCTTGGCACTTGGTTTTATGTCTTCGTTGCTCCAGCTCTGAGCAGAATGCCATGTGCTGCATGGATTTAAGCTCTTATTCCCCCCACATATACCTACCTATGACATGCATAACCCTATAAATGAAAGGTTAAGTCCCTTTTAGTGGGCAGTTCTGGCTCCAACGTTGACCTAAAAGTAAAATCCTGCCAGGTTGCCAGGGTTCCACTCTGAACGGAAACTCTTCCTCCATCCTTCCCACTGTTCTGAGAGCGTGCAGGTGCCCAGCGCGGCCGAGGAGCGCACTGCTGGCCTTCCAGAACGGGGGTCTGCGGGTCGCCATCAAAGCCCCTTGGATGTCCTCTCAGGTGACAGTGGCTGTCCCTGTACACCGCCCTCTCCCGTAGAAGAAGGTGGCCCAGAAGGGTGGACGCGCTCCCCGAGTGTGCCACCTTTCCGATGAACGCCATGGAGGGGAGACAGGCGGGATGGGAACAGCCACCTCCTAGTGCCCAGACCCTCCAGACCGTGTGTTTGCCCGGCAACTGATGCCTACGCAGTGCACTGGGCCCTACCCCAGAGCGTGGGACACATTCATGGAAGAGATTTTTACCAAGGAGGTCATCTGTCACTACCTTGGCCATTAGCCCCCAAGTCTGGCAGGTTTAGCAATTAAAAGACCCCACTGGCCTCCCTCAAATCATATTCATTTCACAAAGTAACCAGGAGGCAGCAGTTACCAGACATCCCTCCCCCCTAACCCCAAACACCCAAGCTCGCCATCCTTCTGCCCCTCTCCGTCCCTCTGCTTCCCTTGCAAGACTTGGAAATGGAGGGAAAGCACTTCCTCTCCCCAAACCTCCCCTGGGGCCAGAGCGGGGACCCTGCGAGGAGTGGAGCGAGGGGAGCGGCTGACCCAGCCAGCCCTTGGTCATTCAGGAAGCACTTAGGTGTCGCCCCACCCAGGGGCATCTGTCCCATTCAGAGTCCTGGCAGGCTTGGTGGCTGGTGTCCCAGGGGTCCACTCAGTCAGCCCCCTCTCCCCATGGAGAGTCCCTGCCCAGAGGGGCTGTAGGACTCCGTGGGTGTCCTACCCACACACCGTAAGCATCGCCTACACACCATAGCCGGTTTTCACGGAAGCGAATCCTCCCCTAAATACACAAAAGGGTAAAGTCTGTGATTTTTCTCTGTCGTTGCGATCACCACCTGGTCCAGTAAGGAGGGCCCTTCTTTGGAAGTTCTGACTTCTCTGATCTGTCTCGGTCGTTTGTGTTATTCAACCAAAGTTCTCTACAAACTTTATTTTTGTACAATATCATTTTGTAACTTTTTACAAATAAAAACTCATTTCTATTGCTCTCTGTACTTCTGTACTTCCTCACGTGCCTGGGACCACGGCTGGGCCAGGCAGCCGGCCACAAGCACTCTGTCCCCTTCACCACCACAGAGCCTGCTGGTTGGTCCATGGCCTTGCCTATCAACTCTCCACAGCCAATCACCACCCAAGTAGGAAAAAACATCCTTTGTTCACTCAACTGGTAGTTAGCGGGTGTCTACACTGTGCCAGGCACTGTTCAAGGCACCAGCCCTCCCAAAGTGGCCAAAACATAAGCCGCTGCCTTGTGGAGTTGATGTTTTATATGAGTGGAGAAGGACAATATGCAAAAAAGTAAGAATATGTAGCGATCCAGGTGGTGATAAATGCTATAAGGAATCCAGTTAGGATATTATAGTAGAAGACTAGAGGCCCGATGCACGAAAATTCGTGCAAGAGTAGGCCTTCCTTCCCCCAGCTGCCGGCACTGGCTTCCCTCTGGCACCTGGGACCCGGGCTTCCCTCCTCCAGCCACCCGCAGGCACCCGGGACCTGGGCTGGCTTCCCTCCAGGCCTGGCTTCATCAGGAAAAATGTCCGGAATGACGTCTGGAAGACGTCTGGTCTAATTAGCATATTACCCTTTTATTATTATAGATAACATGGCACCTGTTTTAGAGGTGACACTGAGGCGGTACTTGAGGAGTAGATCATGCCAACAATGAGCATCCTGGCCAACCTGCAGGACAAACCCTGGGACAGAGCCACTGCCTTGCACAAACTTGAGTGACGCACTCACACCAGTTCTCTGTGCAAGGCAGCAGCACCCCCGGAATCGTGCAAATGGGGGCCCTGAGCTTAGTGTGTTCTGGGGGCAAGAAAAACATGCTAAAAAGAAGAAATGCTGAGGCCCAGGGTTGGGGAGGAGAGCATGCCTGCTCCTCAGATGGCACGCCCCATGGGTGGCCCAGGCGGCCTTGTGACTGTTTCAAGGTGGCCTTGGGTGGTGTTTTCAATCCCAAACAAAACCGGGTGCTCTTAACTCTCTCTGAGTGGCCGCCAGCCCAGGCTCCCTGCACAGAGCAGGGCTTGCCTGAGCCGCCTTCCCTCCCCACGCTCCCCAACTCCCTAACCGACCGTAAAGGCCTGCCAGGCTCTCTCGCCAAATTCTGGAATGAAGTTAGTGACTTGCAGAGGGCAATCAGAAGCTCCTGAGCCTACGTCCCCAAAACAGAAAGCCCTCCCCCTCACCGCAGGCTCCTGCTTGGGCCACTGTTGATTTGCTGTTTGACCCCAGACTGGCAGGGGGAGGGAGCCCGAGAGCCCACACTGTCCACTTCTCAGGACAGCGGCAGGGAGGGTGGAGGTGTTGGCCACGGGCTGGGCTCGGGCTCAGGCCTTTGTCCACCAGGTAATGACATGTCTGAGCCCAGAGTGGCTGCTTGGGACATGTGTCTGTTAACAGAAGTGTTGCTGTGATTCCATGCAAGAGTTAACTCCCCCGTCTCATCACAAACATCCTGAATGAAAATAAACCCGCTGCGATGATGCCGCCACGTCATCCCTGAGAGTAACTGGATCGGAGGAAATCAAGGGAAAGCACCATTTACTCATGTGTGACAGCTACGCATTGCCACATCCCGCCCGCCCGTGGCAGGTGAGGGGACGAGGACACAGACGGGTGCAGGGAGTGTGGTGACAGGTGCATGGGAAGTGCTGGAACGCCTCCGGGAGCAGCAGGTGGGAAGAAAACCTGAGCGGAAAAGGAGTCAGGGACAGCGGGTAGGGGAGCCAGATCATTGGAATCGCAGATAAACGCGCACCATGCCTTCCTCTAACTCTGTCTCGTGCAAGCTCTGGGACATGAGATATTTGGGACAGACTTAGGCTAAAATGATTACTCATTGTTTATCTGAAATTCAGCTGGGCATCCTGTGTTTTAATTTGCTAAATCTGGCAAGAGACAGTGACATTCGAGCTGGGCCTTGAGTCCGAGCAGGCATCTGTCAGGTGGACCGGGCAAAGGGTGCAGCTGGGATGAGGGACGCATTCCAGGTGGAAAGAACAGTGCGACCCAAAAAGACCAGAGGGCTCAGTGTGGGGCGTGCAGGAGGCAGCCGATCAATGATTCTCTCTCATTGTTGATGTTGTTGATGTTTCTATCTCTCTCTCCCTCTCCCTTCCTCTCTGAAAGCAATAAAAATATTTAAAAAAGAAAAGAAAAGAAAGGACACACAGAAGTCTTAGCGCTGCTGTAAACTTTCTGTGTCTCTGCTCGCAGTTTCCTTCTAGTTTTCCCTTTCTCACGCCAAAGCCAACCTCCTCTTAAAAACAACAAACACCTCCCCACCCTTCCAGATTGTCATCTGGAGACACATGCATGTACTTCCTACTTAGGGAAACAGCCTCAGGCAGGCCATTCACAATCTAAACCCATTCACTGTCCCGGGAGAGGGGAGGACCGGTGGCCCAGGTGGCCCAGCAGCCTGGCAGGAGATGTTGAGGAGGGAGGGACAGGTCAGAGAGAGGGATATGCTGAGTGAAGAGGCCACAGGCTCCAGGAAACCAGAGAACCAGCAGGTGACTAACAACGATGAGGTGTTTCAATGGGCGGAGTAGATTATTTCAATTTGGGAAATCCTTTAACATGGTGTATGTGGGGGATTTTAACCCACCTCCTGCTCCATGCCTGCGCCTCATTCATTCAACTAATTATTGGGCATCTATCTCCTGACACAGGAAGATACAGAGATAAAGCCCTAATCTGAGGGGCTCCCAGATTAGAGGGACAGACATAGTCGTTAAAATACATGTGATGAGGGCAGTAGTAAGATTCAGTCTGTTATGGGAGGTTTGAGTCCAGACAAGAAATCCAGCTGTGTCTGGGGGCAGGGCACGGTACCGGGGCAGGGAAAGTATCAGGCCTCCTCTCCCTTTTGGACCTGCGCCTCCCGGACCACTGTCTCTAGTCCCACTCCGTCAAGGCCCTGCCCACACTGCTTTCCTTCCCCCACTCCCAGGACACCTACTTTCCACAGGGGACTCACTAGGACTGAACAGGCCTCCAGACCAGCATTTTCCAAGCCACCTAGTTGACCACAGGGAGGAATTGAGGAAATGCACACACAGGTCCCCTCGCAGGGAGAGAACACACGGTAGCATATTCGACAGGCCCTGGGAAGGCCTGCAGAGGAAGCACCAGTTGGATTTTGTTCAGCCTCGCCTCTCATATTCTGCTTGACCAAGGAGCACCTGTTAGCCTCTAATAGAAGAGTTCTGTGAGACACCACTTGGAAAATGGCATTTAGCAGCAAAGGAGTGAATCTCTCATGGAAGAATCGCAGACATCAGAAGCTAAGTACCAGGCGCCCTTGGCCTGAAGGACCTGACCAATGGCCACCACGTTTGCTTCCATCCAACAACTGGACTGGTCCAGTGAGCAGCCAAACTCAGCCTTCTTTCTCCCTGAGCTTGAGCTGCGGTAACCAACCCTCCCCCACAGTCCTCATTCTCCACCCACCTTCTGTACCCTAACCCCACCGGGCTGACCTGCCACAGTTGGCAATCCCTGGGTTGGAAGACACTCCAAGGCATTTTATCGATGCCACACACACAGAAACATCAGACATCATGGTCATCATTAGTGCTGTTTATCACAGTGGCCGACCCCTTCCATTCCCAGCCATGTGGTAAGATTACACGTTGGAGTTCCTTGTGGTTGAGAGAGCCAGTGGCTGGACAAAGAATGTGCAGAAATGACAGGTGTTTCTTCTGAGCCTAACATTCCATTGCCATGACAAGCCTCTGAGAATCTTTCTTTTCCTGTAAGACAGCAACCTGCGATATTCCAGAGGGTGGCTATGACTGTGATGGACAGAGCCCCTCTCCCCACCGACAACATGGCACAGTGAGTGAGAAATCGCCCTTTGTGATCGGAGCCACTGAGATCTGGAGGTTGTGTGTTACTGCAGGATAGCCGAGCCTATCCTGACAGATACAAGGTTTTATTAGGATGAAGCATGTCGTGGGCCACGAAGAGAATGAGACCAGCCCACAGTGGCCAGGAGAGTAGTGGCATAAAGGCTCACGGGATGGGGCAGTGGCAGCAGAGGCCGTTACTGGTCAGACCATGACAAGTCCGATCGAGTCTTCGGGGCCACATTAGGGATTTCAGGCTTTATTCGGAACCAGGCAGAAAGCCATCAGGCGGTTTTAAGAAGAGGAGTGACAGAATCTGGCTTGTGATTTTAAAGGACTGTTCTAGATGCCTTGTTGAGTCCAGACGACAGAGGGGCAGACGGAGAAGCAGGGAGACCAGCGAGGCCATGGCCAAGGTCCACGTGAGTGGTGATGGGGACCTGGACCAGAGTCAGCAGGGGCAGGTCGTGCTCCAGGACTGGACGTGATGAGGGAGAGAGCGCGCGAGGACCAAGGGTGACCAGAATAGCACCGAGTCTGAAGCTACAGCCGTGGCAGCCCTCAAAGACCAAGCTGTATGTGTCTCGTGTGGGGGAGGACTGGAGTCTCGTCCTGGGCCTTTTCTGCGGGGAAGCTCACCGAGGGGGAGAGCCGCCCCCTCCTGACACCCCAGCTCCGGATCAGGCAGGAGCCCGTGCAGACAGGGATCGAGGGAGTGTGCCAGGCCCCGTGGCTAGAATGCCATTAAAAGTGTGCATGCCAGGCCGGCTGGCTCCCGCTCAGGACGATCTGCCAGTGCTCCCTCTGACAATGTTTAGCATGAAATAAAAAGTATGGCTTTCAGATGAGACCACGAGGAAGATTCTTGAGCAAATATGGCCAAAGCCTCTCTGCAGAATGCTGGCGAGGCTGGGATTCCACCGCTTCCAGCCCTCTTTTTCCGTCTGGCCCTTCCCAGCCCTGCGCCGAGGTCAAGCAGACCACGGCACTGGCAGCACTCCCCTGCCCCCACCCGTCCCCCTCCCTCACCCCCACCCCCAGCTCTGCTCACTGCTGCCACAGCAATCTTCCTCATCCTCCCCACCCCCTCAGATCCCCTCTACCATCCTGACCCCAGGCAGAT